AGGGGGGAAAATGAAGGAAAGGGGGTTGAGGGGGAAAAGCGTGAGGGGAAAATGGAAGAAAATGGGGAAAAAAAGGGATTTGAGGGGAAATGTGAGGGGAAAAAGGGGAGAAAAGGCAGGAAAATGAGGGAAAAGGCGGGAAAAGGGTGTCTTGGAGGGGCTTTAGGGTGAAGTGGGGGACAAGTTTGTGAGGGGAAAAAGGGGGAAAAATGAAGGAAAGGGGGTCGAGAGGGAAAAGTGTGAGGGGAAAATGGAAGAAAATGGGGAAAAAAGGGATTTGGGGGGAAATGCGAGGGGAATGGGGAAAAAGGCGGGAAAATCCGGGGAGAAAGCATGGAAAATCGGGGAAAACGGAAAAGGTGAGTCTTGAGGGCCTGGTTGTGTGAAGGGGGACAAGTTGGTGAGGGGAAAAAGGGGGGAAAATGGAAGGAACGGGGTGCGAGGGGAAAAGTGGGGGAAAATGGGGAAAAAAAGGGATTTGAGGGGAAATGTGAGGGGAAAAAGGGGAGAAAAGGCAGGAAAATGGGGAGAAAAGGGATTTTTGGGGAAATGTGAGGGGAAAATGGGGAGAAAAGGCAGGAAAAAGGGGGGAAAGGGAGTCTTGGAAGGGATTTAGGGTGAAGAATGTGAGGGGAAAAATGGGGGGAAAATGAAGGAAAGGGGGTCGAGGGGGAAAAGTGTGAGGGGAAAATGGAAGAAAATGGGGGAAAAAAGGGATTTGGGGGAAATATGAGGGGAAAATGGGGGAAAGGCAGGAAAATGGCAGGAAAATGGGGTAAATGGGGGAAAATGGAGTCTTGGAAGGGATTTAGGGTGAAGAATGTGAGGGGAAAAATGGGGGGAAAATGAAGGAAAGGGGGCCGAGGGGGAAAAGTGTGAGGGGAAAAGTGGAGGAAAATGGGGGAAAAAGGGATTTGGGGGGAAATGTGAGGGGAAAATGGGGAGAAAAGGCAGAAAAATGAGGGAAAAGGCAGGAAAAAAGGAGTCTTAGAGGGGCTTTGGGGTGAAGGGGGTGAAGAACGTGAGGGGGAAAATGAAGGAAAGGGGGTCGAGGGGGAAAAGTGTGAGGGGAAAAGTGTGAGGAAAGGTGGAGAAAAAGGGGAAAACCAGTTTTTAAGGTGTGAATTTGTCCCCCCCAGTTCCCCGGAGGCAGCGACAACTACCTGGCCATCACGGAGGCCTCGCACCCCTTCCTCAGCGGGGCCGAGGTGAGAGCCCAGAGCCCCCATTTTGGGGGGAAAACATGGGTTTGGGGGAGTCACACCCTGCCAGGGGGCCTGGAGGGGCTCGAAATGGGCTCAAAGTGGCTCAAAATGGGTGTAAAGTGGCTCAAAATGGACCCAAAGTGGCTCAAAATGGTCCTAAAGTGGCTCAAAATGGTCCAAAGTGGCTCAGAATGGGCCTAAAATGCCCTCAAATGGTCCTTTTTGGGGTGAACAGGCCCAATTTTGGGGAGAAAGAGGCTAATTTTGGGGCAAAAAAGTCTGATTTTGGGGTGAAAAGAGCCAATTTTGGGGCAAAAAAGTCTGATTTTGAGGCCAAAAAAAAAAGCAGATTTCAGGGTGAAAAAAACCTGGTTTGGGGTAAAAAGGAGCGATTTTGGGGTGAAAAAGGCCGATTTTGGGGTGAAAAAGTCTGATTTGGGGGTGAAAAGGGGCAATTCTGGGGCGAAAAATGATCATTTTGGGGCGAAAAATGATGATTTTGGGGTGAAAAATGCTGATTTTGGGACAAAGAGTCTGATTTTAGGGTTGAAAAATCTGATTTTGGGGGTGAAAAGAGCCGATTTTGGGGCGAAAAATGCTGATTTTGGGACCAAAAGTCTGATTTTAGGGTTGAAAAGTCTGATTTTGGGGTGAAAAATGCCAATTTTGGGGCAAAAAAGTCTGATTTGGGGGTGAAAAGGGCCGATTCTGGGGCGAAAAATGCCGATTTCAGGGTGAAAAGGGCCAATTCTGGGGCGAAAAATGATGATTTTGGGGCGAAAAATGCCGATTTTGGGGCCAAAACTCTGATTTTGGGGCGAAAGAGTCTGATTTTGGCTGTTTCCCCCCCCCCCAGACGTTCCACACGCCCAGCCTGGGCGACGAGGAGTTCGAGATCCCGCCCATCCCGCTGGAGTCCGACCCCTCCCTGGCCGTGGTGGGGCACTTCGAGGACCTGGCGGAGCCGGGGGGGCCCCCCGAGCCCCCCTTCGCGCCCCCCCCCTACGGGGTCGGGGCCCTGGAGCTGCCCGTGGGGCTCCCCCCGGGCATCAT